CAAGCAATTACAAAAGCCAGCAATTCAAACTCAAAAATGCACGAAAGCTAAAACTGGTCTATGCACAAAACAAACTCTAAAAACAAAAATCCATTTTCAAAACCCTAAAAATCCGAACCGAGAAGAAAATGCGTGACCAAAAAAGACGTCGGAAACAGTATATACCGTCATCGAAGTCACTGTCGTCGCCGTCGTCGGCTTCCGCAGCGGCATCTTCGAAAAACTTGAGGACGCCGCGGTCGGTCCTCTTCCGGCCACCGCCGGTCTTGTCATCGTCGTACTTACGCTTGCCGCCGGAGGATCCACCTCCGGCGATCCCCTTGCCCTTCGACGTCATGACAATGCGAGGGTTTCAGAGCAACAATTTCTCAATTGCATGTAGCGAGGGAGAGAGAGAGAGGCCTTTCGGTTTCGAAGTTTCAGTCTGGTGTCACTACCGACTGGTGCATTAGCCACAGGCTCACACCTTTTTATGCGTAGGTGGCACCTCCGAAATGGAATGGGTTGTTACATGCGATTTTACTACTCTGTCCTTTTATATGGTTCTGATTTATGGCTCTTTGCCATATTTGTGGTCCGTGGGTATTAATGTCAAGTCGATTTTATGCTTGGTGAAAAGTTGAAAACAAGTGTTGTCTGTCGTTACAAATTTGGATTTTTTTTTTTAATAGAAAAACATGAAAATTAAACTTAAAAATAGAAAACCTTTTTCTGAAAACGATGTTTTTGGGTAGATTGGTGAAAATAAATGTTAAATTAATTTCCAGAAAAAATGTTTTGAAAACTGAAATAGTAAATTTCATTTCATTTTGTTACAACAAGGGCTGGAACTTCAAAAGCCCAAAACACTACGAATTTGGAACTAAACGAGGCGCTAGCACTGTAGCATGTTCTCCATCCAACGAACTAACAGTCCAAATCAATGTCAAACCCCAAAACTTTGTCTCTCTAGAGAAATTCTCTGGAGAGGCTAGAATGAAGAGGTTGAGTGAGGAGGTTGTTTGAGGAGGTGAAATCTCACCATCAACAACTAAAAACAAAGTACATGGGGGGGGCATTGGGGGGTCCACACCCCTTTTGATGGTGAGATGGGCCTCCTCAAATAGCCTCCTCACTATAAACCCTCATTATAGAAGCTCCCGAAATTCTCTGGTCATCAGCTCCCACTCTCACAATCAAGCGGGGCCTTCCAGTATTGGAGTTTCATCTGGCCCATTTGGATACGATCTCAACTTGTGTTTTTTTAGTATAAGTGATAGTCTAAACTACATAAGAGAAGGTTTCTCACACACACACAATTTATGTCATGAGAATTCAAACATGAGATTTCTGGTATGCAAGTCAAGGCCCTTTTTTCCACTGAACTAGACCCCGTTGACTAAACGACATCAACTTTATTCCTACTAGAAGTGCACGACCATATAGCACCACCAACTTCGTCGTCCCTATATCCATCGGCAGAACTAGTGCAAGGGCTGCCCTGGGCTGTAGCCCAGTGAAGGTTTTGGGAAAAAAATAATAATTAAACATATATAGCCTAATATTTTAAAATATATACAAATTGCATACCCTAAACATCAATAGGCATAGTTAGAGGTCTTTCACATTTGTATTTGGTGTCAAAGTTTGTCCCAACATCAATTCTAATCTTTTTCCATTAATGTATCTTCAAAAGAGAAGTATTTTTCTAAATAAAATTCACCCTTTCGTGAATAATATGGCTCCAATTCAATTTTCTTTTAATCCAACTAATGTAATTGATTTTATTTAATATATACTTTTATTTCTAAAAAAAACTTTAAAAACTGTTAGTACCAAAAAATATTATCATTAGATTTTAAGCTAATAACTTTAGCTGGCCCACTCATTGAAAAATTCATAATTATGTGCTTGCCTATATCATCATATTCTTCATACCATTCAAAACAACATCAACTTTATTCCCATCATATTCTTCATACCATTCAAAACAACATCAACTTTATTCCCACTACTGGGTGTGCTAATCACCATCATCACTAGCACAAAATGGACAAGAACATCAATCTTACATTTCCACCACTCTCTCTCTCTCTACACTAGCGACTCAACATGACACTACAAGTCAAAACCTTAGGATGCACAAATGCATTTTATGCACCAGTTAGAATTTGAGTCTTAGAGATAACAAATATATAAAATAACCAAGACATAGTTGATTCTTCGTAATTAATGAACCCACAATTTTATTTTATTACAAGGTACGTTAAGCACAATCATTCTACGAACCAAGATTTATGCTTATAAGCGATTCACAGTTGCTCATGCGCTACCTATTACGGTATTACCAATGACCCCTAGTGTGCGAGTTACATTTTGAGAGCGATTCACAGTTGCTCATGCGCTACCTATTACGGTATTACCAATGACCCCTAGTGTGCGAGTTACATTTTGAGATCAGTAACCTCCACTAGCAGCAGTTTTAGCAACCACTATTCCTGTCTAAGCCACTCTCACTTCATCTCTAAACTTCTTGTAAATATCACTCTTATAAAACTTCCTTGTCCTAACCACCAAAAGCAGTGAAACAAGTGCACCAAACAATGCCACCACAGCAAGTATAATGAAAGACAATTTGAAGCACTGCCCCCCAACACAATTCAACTCCTCCCCCACCTTTCTCTGAAGCCCCAAAGCTGCCATTTGCTTCTTAGCCTCCTTGTCATACAAATACCCTGTGACCCTCACATTGAGCAAATACAGCCCAATTGGGCTAGCCAACCCACCAAAATTGTACAAAGTGGAGTAATATTTAAGGCCAAAAAGTTCAGAAATTAGAGTGAAAATCAAAGGCCAATGTGCACCAAAACAGAAACCAGTAACCACTGAAGAAACATAGAGGCCATAGGGGACATTGAATGCAATTAGGGGATGGCCAACACATGAGAGCAAGAGAACTACAGTGAAGATGAGAGGGCGAGGCCATTTGTACTTGATAATGAATATTTCTGAGCCTATGCCAGCAACAATCTGTCCCAGAAAATTCCAAATGCTCGTAAGCGACACGAAATTTCTTATGCTTCGCAAAGGGTAGCCGAAAGAAGTTCCAATCTGCCCCAAGTTGTCCATCATGGTCATGGTGCCTCCAAGGCCACAAACTGTTGCCAACAACAAAGTCAGCATTTCAATGCTGAAAAGTGCTTGCAATATTGTGAAGTCTTCACCTATCTCTGGTGGGTTAAATATGTCCTTGTTCCAAGATGGAACCTTTTTGTATGTTGGGGTTGAAATGGCATCAGGGTTTTGGCCTCTGGTCAGCTGCACTTCCAACATACTGGCTCTGGCTAAACCTGAACCTTTTCTCAACAACAATTATAATCAACAAAAATGCTGCTAGGCCAAGAGAAATATAAAGGAAATTATAGAAAGCTCTGAGCTCGTTCGGGCGGCGACTAGCCTTGATGATCCGAATGGTTCCAATGAAAACCAAAGAGAGAGCAGTTGGAAGCCAAGCCACCACCAAAGTGAAAGACTTTGTGTCATCACCATAGGCAGCATGGTAGAGCTGTGAGATCACAGCTGCGCTTATGCCGGTATAGCCTTTGAGAAGGCCTAGCACGACACCACGACTTTCTGGGAAGTTCTTGACACATGTGACAAGGGCTCCAGTGTTGGTGAAAGTATGCGAATTGGCCCCTATGGACATGTACAAGCACATGTGCCAGACTTGAGGCTTTGGGATTTTTTGTGTTATTGCAAGCCAGATCATGAAGTGCCCGAAAAAGTTTAGGACCGCACCGATTGATAGGACCACCCACGGGGGTGTTACCTCATTGATCAGGCCGGACAAGATGCCAACGTTGGCGCCTAAGTCCTTGAAGAAGCTGATCAAGTTGAGTGTCGTTTGGTCGTATCCCAGCACGAATTTTATGTCGTTGGAGTAGAGGCCGAACATGTAGCTTGCGCCTGCAGTGACCATCATTAGGAGTGAAGCAAACACCATGAGCCATCTTCCTGTGAGGACTTGGAGGACAAGGCCCTTCATGTCCACCCAACTGTGTATGCTTGCGCCGCCACCGCCATGATCAGGAGCTCTCATTTTTTCTGTTTATGGTGATCACATAGTACCAATGGCTTGATATATATCAAGTATGAAGGGATGTAAAGCTTAAAAAGGTTGTGAGAGAGAGAGAAGGAGTGGGAGAACTGTGTTGCCTCAAGTCAATATGTAATTTGTGGTTGATATTCGAAAACAATAATATCAAAAGGGGAAAAGTTCTGTTTCAACTCATCCAAGCATAAGGAAAGGATAATTAGAAAACAATAATATCAAAGGGGGAAGAGTTCACTGTGTTGAGTAAATGGATCTTTCATAATATATATTTAAGGGATTTCTTGACAGACAGATGGAGATACCATATGATAGGATAGGATCATTCAAGCCACAAAGAATGAAGGTATATAACAAATTATAGATATCTATATTTCTGAAGATAACATTGATAGTCAGAGAGAAAATCCACATGTTGATGATTGATGACCATAATTTGCTAGCAAACCTTTAATGTGCATTAAGTTCCTCTTTTTTGTGATCACGTTATTTTTCATGGTGATTTGGTTCTGTATTTTATTAGGAGATTAGCAAAGCTCAGCTTTAATCATTGACCACTTTACTCCTGAATAATACATTTCAACCAAATCCATTGTTACTTGTCACCCGATTTGCTGCTGGATTCCACTAGTTAGTACTATACCACTTAATTTGTGAACCCTAGTGCCAAAGTAGCTGTTGGAAAAATTGGCTCACCTAAGGATACAAAGTCCTTTTTTGTGTGCTATGGATTTCTACCTAAATTGCATGACATGGTTGACTCATTTCTAGAAAAATTTTGGAGTTGCCCATGTGAGTAAATATTGGCTTGCCATCTTTGTCAAAAATAGGTGACGACTGATTTCCATTTTGAACCAAAGAAAAATCTGTTATTGTAAAAGTCACAAAGATTGCATTTGTTTGAAGAAAATATATACATATATATCAGAATTACAGAGATCAAACTCACCAAGTATATCTCATGCATACATCTCAATCTCAGCTTTTTAAATCAATCTCATCTTTCAACTTTGGTGCTCAACGTTGGGGTTTTTGGCCACCACTGTTTCAGACTCTGCTGCTCTTGTCTCATCTTTGAACTTTTTATAAATGTCACTGTTATAAAACTTCCTAGTCCTAAACACCAAAACCAGGGAAACAAGCACACCAAGCAATGTCACTGCAGTGATTATAATGAAGGGTAATTTGAAGCATTGCCCTCCACTGCAATTCAACTCCTCCCCAGGGTTCCTTTTCAATCCCAAAGCTCTCAATTGCTTCTCTGCCTCCCTATCATAAAGATACCCTGTGACCTTCACATTAAGCAAATATGACCCGAGTGGGCAAGCCATTGCCCCAACATTGTTGAGCGTAGACCAATGCCTGAGCCCGAAAATCTCAGAAGTTATTGAAAAAAGCAATGGCCATACCCCACCAAAGCAAAACCCTGTGATTATTGAAGCTACATAGAGACCATTTGGGACATTGAAGGCAATTAGAAGGTAACCAATGCAGGACAGAAAAAGGGAGAAAGTGAACATGAGAGGCCTTGGACATTTGTACTTTGTGATAAAGATTTCTGAGAGCAAACCCACCATTACTTCTCCAAGATAAATCCATATGCTTGTGAGCGACACAAAAGTGCTTATGCTTTCCAAGGAGTATCCTAGGGCAGTTCCAATCTGACCCAAATTGTCCATCAGTGTCAACATGCCACCTATGCCACACAATGTGGTCAAGAACAAAGTCAACATCTCAATGCTGAACACTGCTTGGAGTATTGTGTGGTCTTCTCCTATCTCTGGTGGACTAAACACTTGTTTCCAACAAGAAAGCTTGTTTTGGTCCACATGGGTTGAATCTGGTGATGGAATTTCAATATTTGCAGTGCTCAATGATTGATTGGTCCTCCAAGAACTATACTCTTCTGCAACAACAACAGCAAGTGGGAGAAAGAGCAAGAAAAGCACTATAGCTGCACTTCCACCATACTCAATTTGTGTGAAATTCACCTTTTGCTCTACTATGATTATAATTAACAAGTACCCTGCCAATCCAAGTGAGATATAGAGGAATTTACATAACACCTTGTAATATTTCTTCTGCGGTATAACCTTCATTATCCGAATCGTACGAAGAAATATCAGAGAAACAGCTGAAGGAAGCCATGCCACAAACAAAGTGAAGGACTTTGTGTCATCACCATAGAAAGCATGGTATAGCTGTACAATCACAGCTGCACTCAGGCCAATGTAGCCATTCAAAAGCCCGATCAAGAAGCCGCGGCTTCTCGGGAAGTTCTTTACACATGTGACGAAAGCTCCTGTGTTGATGAAAGTATGTGAATTTGCTCCCATTGTGATGTACAAGCACATGTGCCAGACTTGGGGCTTGGCTATTTTTTCTGTCACGGCAAGCCATATCATGAAGTACCCAAAAAAGTTGAATGCTGCACCAATTGATAAGACCACCCATGGGGGTGTGACTTCATTGATTAGGCCAGAGAAGATGCCAATGTTGGCCCCCAAGTCCTTGAAGAAGCTGATCATGTTGAGGGTGGATTGGTTGTAACCAAGGACAGATTTGATGTCATTTGAGTAGAGGCCAAACATGTAGCTAGCACCAGCACTAGTCATCATTAGAAATGAGGCAAACAGCATGAGCCATTGGCCTGTAAGAACTTGGAGAGCAAAGCCCTTGATGTCTGCCCAAGTGCCATGAACCCCCATTTCTCTAAATCACCTTTCCCTGTTTTTTTTACCTGTAATTATACAACGCGTGAGCTGAGAAAAACAGGCACAGGACGATCATACCACGTTATCATGATATGACCATTCAACAAGAAAGCCATGTACTACAAATGAAAGAAAAATTTTCATTTCTAATTCAAAACAAGGTTTCACCTGATGAGAAATGTTTTGTAATTTGTTCTTACTCTTTTTTTGGTTTTTTTATTTATTAAAAGTTTTGACGTGTGGATGATGAGAAATGTTTTGGTTAAAGTTTTGACGTGTGGATGATCTCTGCCTCTTTGGAGCATATATACATCACAGATAATAGATACAAGTGCCCCCTTCAATGCATATTGTGTCACATATATTGTTTATATTAAATGGTGCTAAAATATCCATGTGCTGTGTGGATAAATACATGCATGATCACAAGCTACAAATATGCAAATTAAATTAGGAAAATAAGTCACTATCTAGATAAAAAGTAAAGCTTTTTGAAAATTAAATAATATAATATATGAGCAGAACTAAAATGAAAAAAGAGGTGATCAGTTTACCCAACCTGTCCAAAGCCAGGGCAACCTAGAGGTAACAGCAGCTGCAAAGGCGTTGGCTTCCTATTTCATTGGGTGCAGAGCTCCAACTTGAGCAGAGTTGTTTATGGCTTCTTTGGATTTGGTATTCTTGGTTCAAGCTTTGTTATGCTTTTTGAATACTCAATTATCTGGAGTTCTGAGTAAAAGAGTCGTCGAAGTTTTGGTTGGGTAACTGCATGTTTTTATTTCTTTTCTTATTTTTGTTCTCTAAGAGCTACCTTATCACTAAGAATTTTCTTGTTATGGTTGAGTGGATGAAAATAAAGAGAAAGAAGAAGCAAAACAAAAGACCTCCATCTTATGAAAGGTCAAGCAAAACAAAGACTCTTCCAGTCAATCAGCAGTTTATTACTTTCTTTTTCTTTTCTTTTTTTCTTTCTTTTTTTATGAAAATATTACTTTCTTTATTTTGTTGGAAAGTTGGGAAAATTAAGAAGGCTAGCCTTGCAACATTGCCATTAATATGAAGTAAAAAAGGAAGAAAAATTAAAATCCCATACACTGCAATATTATATTAATCAAGGGATTAATATAATATTGCATGTTTAACATATTAATCAACAATAATTAAACCCATTACCTTTTTTTTTTTTTATCTAGCCACCTTTGACCTCTGACAGTCCAATGGGGTTTGTAGCCACCACAATTTCTGACTCTCCTGCTCTTCCCTCATCTCTGAACTTCTTATAGATGTCACTGGTATAAAATTTCCTAGTCCTGACCACCAAAACCAATGAAATAAGCACACCAAGCAATGTCACAGCAGTAATTATAATGAAGGACGGCTTGTAGCACTGTCCCCCAGTACAATTTAGTCCCTCCCCGGGCTTCCTGTCCAATCCCAAAGCTTTCAATTGCCTCTCTGCCTCCTTATCATAGAGATAACCTATGACCTTCACATTGAGCAAATATGACCCAAGTGGGCAAGCCATTGCCCCAACATTGTTGAGAGTAGAGCAATGCTTGAACCCAAAAATCTCAGAAGTTATTGAGAAATCAATGGCCACTGCCCTCAAAAGCAAAACCCTGTGATTATTGAAGCCACATAGAGACCACTTGGGACATTGAAAGCAATTAGAAGGTGGCCAATGCAGGACAACAAGAGGGACAAAGTGAACATGCGAGGCCTACGGCATTTGTACTTTGTGATGAACCCCCATTTCTCTAAAATTCACAACAACAAAAACACCTTGTTAATTGGAATGATAAGAGAAAAACCATACATTAAAAAAAATAACTCCATGGCTAATTTGGGGTTATTTTTCACGTTCATTTTGGACAGAAAACAAAAAGAAAGATTTTAAAGCTTCACAATATGTTGACGTGTTATGGTACAAAAGACGAATGTGTCCGTGTTGACCGTATCCTTCGACGTGTGTGGATATCATTGGTCAAGTGTGCACCTTCAATATTGCATGTATTAATTAAATTGTGATAATATGGATGATTACAATAATACTCTTCATAATTAACCTACAAAACTGCAAATTAACTTAGGTTACGTTATAAGCTAAATTAGCATTTTCGACCCAACGAATTCATAGCTCAGTGACAAGAGCATTTGGTGGTCTCATATTCGAACTCTAATGACATCTTCTCTTTTCTCTTTCAAACTTTAAAGGAGGAAAAAAAAATGAAATTAATATGAGCAAAATTGGAGTGAATAAAGAGTATGTATATATTACCAAACTTAATTTTGTAAATTAGTAAGGCAACCTTGATAGCGTTGGCTCTTTTTGCAGATGGGTACCGTGCTGCTGCAGAGCTTTTGCTGGCGGCCCGTCTCTGTTTGTAGCTGTGTGGGTTTTGTTTGGATTTGGGTTTGGTTGTGGTTTTCACTGCTTCACAGAAATGGAGGATTTGAGAAGAGCCAAGAAATTAGAATGAAATTAATGTATCTACAATATTATTGTTTTGGGTGTAAGGCATGCATGTGGGTACGTGGAATTCTATAATTGAACGTCTCCAACGCGTATACGTCTTAGTTGGAAGAAAGAGAGGATCATCACTCACTCATACAAGTAAGTCAACTTAATGTGAAGAATTTTGAGTTTCTTTTCTTTATTTTCTTTCTTTATATAAAGAAATGTTGCTACCAAATTGCTGACGTAAAAAAAAAAAGAATTACAGATCAAAGTAGCTGCCATTGAATGAGAAAAATACGAGAGCTCAGAGTGACACACTTTGAGTATGAGAGATTTTCCTTGGAGACAAATTCAATTCAATGGCCTAACAGCTGCTGATGTTAGGCCCACGTTTCATCTGGGCTAACCTCAATTCAATCCAAAGCAAAGTGATGTATCTGGCCTTTTAAACTAGTCACTCTCTTGTTAATCATCATTTAGTCCGGCTATACAACGGAACAAACCGTACGTATGTCATTGATAATGTGTTGATATTAATATCGTTAACAAAACATACTGGCATGTTGTTGATACAATATATCGATGCGCATCCTCTCTTTAATATATAAAAAAAAGGGACATCCTGCGGATTTTATATATCTATTACTAGCTTTACTTAACATGTATCATGTATTAGACTCACAATACAGTCACTCTCTTGTTAATCATCATTTAGTCCGGCTATACAACGGAACAAACCGTATGTCATTGATAATGTGTTGATATTAATATCGTTAACAAAACATACTGGCATGTTGTTGATACAATATCGATGCGCATCCTCTCTTTAATATATAAAAAAAAAGGGACATCCTGCGGATTTTATATATCTATTACTAGCTTTACTTAACATGTATCATGTATTAGACTCACAATACATTCAATTATACGGGTTAATTATATATGAAGTAACACATTGTACATGCTGAACGAAAGTAGTAGTTAATGTTGGCATATGCCGGATGCAAAGCTTGTGTCTGTCAAGCCTAATTCATTGATTCTATTTGTTTAAAGGGATAATACCAAATAAGTCTAACTTTTTGGCATGCACTTGTTTATTTTAAGAAAAAGTTTCGTGCAAATCAAGAGACAAGGCCAGTTTGTTAACAACCAAACCTATTGATTTAATAATCTGTATATAGAATTTGGGATATCATTTTCTGCTCCCCTAATTATAAAATTTGGTGTTAGGTTTATGGGTTTACCCGATAAGATCAGTACACATGCAAATAGAAGAAGATGGTGGAAAACCCAATGAAATGCAGACAGATTTGGAATCTTGGAAGATGCTGCTTTCAACTTTCAAACGATTCAGTAATTAAGAAAAATATGTATATGGAAAGAAACAAAACTAACCTGTCATGGATTCCAAATTTGTAATAGGATTTGTTTATCTTGTTTAAGCCAAAACGTGATTTCCACTGCTAGTGGAGTATAGCTCAATTGGTTGAGCTCGGATAGAGGTTCAAAACTTCAAGTACTCGATGATATTTGTGTATACTCCCTCCCCCAATCGCTTGTACTAACAAGAACGTGTGCTTTACACCAATCGTCATTTGATACAGTGACACTTTAATTATTGAAAAATATATATTTATTCAAATCTTATAAACGACAGTTAATAATAAAATAAAACGTACATAGTCGAAAATAAAATTCTTTAGTAAACTCCATCCCTGCTAGCTGGAAAATTGGGGATAGAGACACAAATTGACATATGGTTAACAAGTTACGCGACCCCTTCTGTATATCTATGTTTCATTTGGATTATGTCAGACCAAAGAAAAAAAAGAGATGCATTTGGTCTCTTTACTATTATTCTTTTTTGTATTTAATGTTTTAAAATTCAATTTTCAATGTTCACGTACTTTGAATTTTCAACTATGAAGGGATTTGGATAATGAAGAAAGCAACCTTTTTTCATATACTATTGACAAAGTTGGAGAAATTCAGAAAGCTAACTGTATAATCTTTTTGCTATTAATGAAGTAAACAAACCAAAAAAAAAACAAGGAAATCTCACACAAAATGCCATATTAAAAATCATACATGTCAATATAATTTTCTTTCTAAAATCTATACAGCTCTAACTTCATGGCATGCAAATCTCTATTTTGATCTTCCATTAATTTCTAATGGGTTTGGCTCCATTTTGATCTGCCATGGCCATCTCAGTCTCAGCAGCTTGTGCTGCCTCTCTGAACTTCTTGTATATATCACTCTTGTAAAACTTTCTTGTCCTGATCACCAAAATGAGTGAAATCAATGTCCCAAAAAATGTGGCTGCGGCAATCACAATGAAGGCCAATTTGAAGCACTCTCCACCAGCACAATTCAATTCCTCCTTTGCTTTTCTTACAAGTCCCAAAGCTGCTAGCTGCTTCTTGGCTTCTTTGTCATATAGATGACCTGTGAGCTTCACATTGAGCAAGTATAGCCCAACTGGGCTAGCAGATGACCCAAAATTGTACAAAGTGGAGTAGTATTTGAGGCCGAAGAGCTCAGAAATTATGGCAAAAAGTAGAGGCCACTGGGCACCAAAACAAAACCCTATTATGATGGAGGCTGCATAGAGACCATTTGGGACATTGAATGCAATTAGAAGGTGACCAACACAAGAGAGCAATAGGGTTAGGGTGAGCATGATGTTGTGAAAAAAAGGACAAAACAATTTCACTCACTCCCCTAATGATCTTGTTGTTGATGGACTTTGTGACACACACAATGATGGATGAATCACACACACACACTTGAGACAACAACCAAGCACAAAGTGACACAAGAATTTATAGAGGTTCAGCAATTGCCTACATCCTCTTGGTGATCCCCTTGAGAAATTCACTTCATGAAAGAATAAGTTACAACTTTGGTTTTACACAGAAAAACCCCCTTAGAACTCTATTCTCTCCAAGCTCTCGTTTCTCTCACACCCCTTGCTCAACACTTTGATGCACTTGTGAACACTCTCACAACCCTTGGTGTTTCCCCCTTTTGGTGTCTAGACTCTCAAGACCCCAACTCAGCTCCTAACTTGAACTGATTGCTCTCCCTCACGTTCTCCCTTGGTGAGTTAACCTCCTTTGTCCCCAAAACAGCCCCACGGCTTTCTGGGAAATTTTTCACACAAGTGACCAGAGCGCCAGTGTTTGCAAAAGACTGAGAATTTGCACCTATACAAATGTAAAGGCACATATGCCAAACTTGGGGCCTGGCAATTTTTTTGGTCACAGCCATCCAAATCATGAAGTACCCAAAAAAGTTGAGCACAGCACCAATTGATAAGACCACCCATGGGGGAGTGACCTCGTTGATAAGACCAGAAAGGATACCAACATTGGCACCCAGGTCCTTGAAGAAGCTGAGGAGATTGAGGGTAGTTTGGTCATAGCCAAGCACAGATTTGATGTCAGCGGAGTATATGCCAAACATGTAGGTGGCTCCAGCAGCTGACATGATCAAAAGAGAAGCAAACATCATGAACCACCTTCCATTGAGGACTTGGAGGGTGAGGGCTTTGGTGTTTCCCCAACCTCCTCCTCCACCAGCTCCAGAAACCACCATGATTTTTGGTCTCTGAATTGCACCACCAAATCTCTCACAAGTTTGTTTGTGAAGTGAAGAAGTTGGGGAGGTAAGCAATATATAGAGGCAAAAGACAGAGAGCAATTAAAGACAAAAGAAAAATAATCTCCCAAAAAATAAAATAAAAGAGTAGTGAGACCAAATTTTTATTTGTTTATACAAGCGGTATTAGGGATGGGTGATGGGGGATGGACCCAGATTATAAATTTAAGTAAATGATAAGGACTGAATTGCAAAGGCAATAACAAAATAGGAAAGAGGAGCTATATCCTATTCTTATAAGGGTAATGCTAGGCTTACCACATTTTCATACCACGTTGTGTACCACATCTCTAATAAGGGTAATGCTAGGCTTACCACATTTTTCATGCCACATTCATACCACATCTCTAATAGAGGTGGAGCCCACCAATATAATGGGGCTCACCTCTATTAGAGAGATTGTATAAATGTGGTATGAAAAATGCGGTAAGCCTAGCATTTTTCCTCTTTATAAATGTGGTCTTATCATCATAACTATAGGGAAGAAATTGTGAGGAGGGGGTATGGGAGGTAATAATTTCAGGAAATTGTGGGTTGTGGTGATAGGAGGAAAATTTGTTAGTTTTGTCTTTGATTTGTCAAGTTGGTATGGTTTAGTTATAACACGCACCTCTTTTTAAGACCGTTGACTGCCCAAATATCTAATGCATGGGAAGGCCACCAACTTGGACACAACTAAGTTTTTTAATACGTATCTTCTTTTTTTCCCCCATTTGATATTGGATAAGATAAGCTTAATTTATGGTCGAAATAGCCACAACTAAAAAGGAAAAAAACATAGCCAATGGGTTCCCACCACGATGGTGGCTTCCCCCTTCTCCCATGGCATCACCTCAGTTCGAACCCCAGAGTCGAACTCCAATGTAATCAATCCTTATTTTAGATGGATCATGAAAATTGCAGTCATAAAGTCTTCAGAAAATACAATCATGAAAGTGAGAATTTGAAGAACATTGCAAGAATATTAGATTTATGAATATACATTTTCAGTGAGATCGATATATTACTAGAAGCAAGCAAACACTAAAGTCTACAACGTTGAATTATTTTATTTTTTGTTTGTTATAAATGTGGAATTGTTGTGCCATATTTTCCACAAAACTATTCATGCATGTGCTGGTTTCCTCCCACCCCAAGCATAAGGTCAGTTCACAAGTGGCATTGCCAGCAACATTATTTTCTTCTTTTGATCAAAAAGTCAATTTCTTTGGCATTGACTATTAAAGATATAATGACTGATCGAGTATATTATAGATCCACGAAATTATATAAAATTAAATACAGACCGACTCAAAGTTATACAACTACGAAGGTTGTCGATTATCTTTTCAACTCTCAAGCTAGGCCACTCCCATAATCCTTGAAAAAAGCATATGAAAAGTAGAATTTGTTAATTTTGATTATATTTTACAACAAATACACGTGGGTTTATATGATAGACCTATACATACCCTAAAAATATTCTAAATCCAATCTTATTCAATCTTATCTATATAATTAAGCATTTCGGATAAGATCTCGTTCACTCGTTAAATAAAAAAATATAATCAAATCCCAATTTTATCGCATTCTAATATCATACGATAATTCCTCGTTTCATCATATTGTAACATAGAACTTCCTCCAATATATATATATTGATGATATTTTGAGACTTTCTCGGGCCAAGGCATTCATGCTTGAGCTAACTTGTTAAGGCTTCATTGTCTGTTGTTTTTAATTAGTCGTGCTTCTATTACTGGGTTATTTATATATTATATATTTTAATTTTCTTTTGTCAATTATGGCAATGGGTAGGCCCAGCCCTCCTAAAATTACATGAATAGCCTTGTTGACTTGGCTCTTGTCCTTGCCTGGGGCTTCTATGTTGTCATTTTAGGGCATCTGTGACAATGCAAAAGACTTGAGCAAACGACAAGCAGCAGCTACTTTGATTGAAGGGCAGGGTAAGCCTGCACAATCACCAGTCGTGCACGTACAAACACATACAACTATCACAAGTCGTGCACTACCACCAGTCCTCAGTTTATAAGAATCTGGCGTGTCTACAAATGTTTAACAAATTACTTTAGCGAAAATACAAACCAATAGAGTCTAGTCTCGTTAAAAAGATTCTTGATTTGCAGATCAGTGATTTTAAGTTCGAATTCTCATGACACCTTAGTAGTGTGCGTGAGAAATCTCCCTTCTCTTCAATATGTTGTTTTAGTTAAAAACACAACATGTATCTAAGTTACGAACATCTCCCTAGACATGTACCCAAATTTAAGTAGGACAGGAGCAGACAGAGATTTGAACTATAAAATGGGCAATTACAGAACATGGAGCTGCACCTGTGGAGGATGCCATTAAATGCAAGTCCACTCTAACCTTTTCTATTTCCTATTTGTCAATTCTCAAGTTGCCATTAGACTATCACCATTGACTTAGAATTAAGTTTAATTGTACCACCTATAGGCATCACCACCATCAGCTATATAAGCGCTCATGAGTTCCTCTTTTCAATGCAAAATCATGAGACAACTTATAAAAAATTTGATAAGCCTCATAATTAACCCTTTCTAGTTATATATTCTCAATAAATAAAAAACAATTATAACCCAGCCTGTCCATGTGTATGTGCCTGTACTAATTTTGATGAAAATGGCATATATGTAATTGATTCAAATTGCCAACTTTCCATGACCAATAACCATCTTAGTGAATGTGATGGATTGGATTCTTCTTGTATGACTATTCAAACTTGCTTCAAAGATCTAACTTCTCCTTATTAGAGAATATATATTAATAAAGGGGAAAAGGTATATATATATATATATATATATTTTGTAAAGATTTGGAAGGTGACTTGTATGGCTGATACGAGTGATCTTGACACTTAACATTATTGTATCCAATCCACCAACCCAATTGCCCAATTGGCCTTCACTTGAAAACAAAGGGAAAAGAAAAGAGATTTTGAGCTCGTCTTTAAAGATAAGATAAGAGTTTGACTCTTACTCTCATCTCCACATATGTGTGTAGGAAATAGATACATAGAAAATTAGTTAAAAATATGCATATATGTGCACCATGACTTTTCAACCATGAAAGGGGGCATTTTATATAACATTTTAGTCCATTCAGTATCTTTGCATTAACAAAAAAACCCAAAAAAAAAAGAGTTGAAAATTAAGCAGAGACCCAATCCGTCATCAAACTCTCATATTCAACACAAAGACAAGCAGAAGTTCACACCTGTGTAAGCTACAATAATTCAATTATGCCAGCAGCCAAACAAACACTTACACACACAAACACACGTACACAAAAGTTGGATAAATCTTGAAAATTCAGAAGCTTAAAATCATGTTGACGAAGAAACCATAAGGTTTAGTTCCCCACACTACTTTCCCTCTCCCTCTTGCTCTGCATAAAGATCAACTTAGCTAGTCAACTCCCAGGAATCTCAGGCGCTGTTGTTTTCTAAAGTTTGGTTTGGAAAATATATACAGAGACGCAGAAACATTATTCAAAAGGGCAGAAAGCGATTTTGACTTTCTTTCTTTGAGAGAGAGAGAGAGAGAGCAAGTAAAGAAGTATAATATGTTGCATTATTCTCTCAGAAGTGTGAGATCCCGGTTAATGTGTTTACACTTAGAAAAAGAAAGAAAAGAAAAAGCCCACATGCTTGTAAGTCCAGTTTAATATACAACTAAACTAATCAATGATCTTGAAAATTTATGAGCTGGAAAGATTGCTTCTTTCTCCAGATTTCTGGATGGATTAACTTAAACAAATCATTAAAATGACTAATTAAAGGTGGTTCGTTCTAGATGCTTATTGAGGACATCTGAACCAATTACGTCACTTTTTGCCATTATAATTTCTATAATATTCTTAGAAGTTTCGTCTTGACTTGACTTTGGGGTTTGGCTCCCCATAAGCCTCAAATTCGGAACACGTGCTGTATTCTTGTGGGCCAGTCAGTCTTTTGGGTTTACTTGTGCAGTAAGGTAAAGTCATTGCGCATGACCAAGCTATATACTGTCCTACCACAGTGGGAATATTTGACCCAATTACTTCAAATCCAAGGCACCTTGGAAAAATATAACGGAAAGCAGAAATCCAGGGCCACTTGGAAATTTCTCTTTCTGATGAAAAACAATGTTAAAACACTTGAACATACTAGAGAAGATACATCATAGCAGAACAACTCCTCTTTCTCATGCCCTGTTTTGCACCATTCACACTGCAAGAGAAATCCACTTCTCTACAACTCGACCAACCAATAAGAAAGGAGATAAAGAAGAAAACAGAGACTAACGGATATCATTTAGTGCTAAAATTGTTCTCTTTACAACGCAAACAAACAATGAGACTCAATAGTAAATTTCCCAAATTTCATTTTATGTCGCTGAATTTGTTTGTCAACCAGTCAGAAAAAGTGTAATAACTAAAATCAAACAGAAAAATACTGAATTAAATTACATCCATCAATCCTACGTAAAATTGTATCCGCAACATCCCACATCAAAAACCTAAAAGAGCATAAACAGCTACAAATTTCTTGAGAATAGCCAGGCCAACCAACATTTAGTAGCGGTCAAAGGAAGATGGGCGCCCTCCCCTGCTGGGGCGATCGTAAGGACCTGCCCTGCTTCTGTAATTTCCTCCCTCATCTCTTGCTGGCCCTCCACTTCCATATCTGTCGCTTCCACCTCTTGCATCCCTATCATAGCCTCTATCTTTGCCATAACCATTTTGAGGATAACGATCAGAACCACCATATCTATCACTTGCAAAACGATCACCAGCTGGATACCTGCAAAGAAAAGCCACATAAAGTAGAGCATACTGGATGATGCTTAAATAAACGGACTTCTTATCTATTATTCAGCACAATTATATCTAATATGCTAGAGAATGAAAAAGGTGACAGTGGAACACGCAACAACGGAGGAACTGTTACCTGTCACTAACATAGCGATCACGGCTCCCATACTTGTCCTCCCTGCTGTCAAAACGGTCCCTCTCTCCATAACGCCCTCCATCATAACGGTCATCCACATAGCGATCACGGTCTCCACCAAAGCGATCCCCACGGCCACCAGCCCCAAACCTAGAATGGGATGAGAATGAACCTCCACCTCTTCCACCACCAGCTGAAGGGCAATCTCGGGCCCAATGTCCTGGTCGCCCACATTTGAAGCATTCATCTTGCCCTACAGGTCTATCTCCTCCCCCATAGTTTCTCCTGCCACCAGATGAATAGCCTCCTCTATAGCCATGGTCTGAATCCTCCCCTCCCCCTCCCATTTTGGGTTGAGCTTTGTTCACAGAGATGATGCGATCACCAAGCTCCCGCCCATGCATCTCCCGGATTGCATCTTCCATTGCTCGCCGATCTCCAAATGTAATAAACCCAAAACCCCGAGGGCGATTTGTATCTCTTTCCATCATGATCTACAGAAATACCACATTAGTCATTTCATATTAATGAGATTCATCTCTTTTAACCAAAAGCGAAACAGGACTTTTGGAAAGCTGGGAAAAGAATTAGAAGACAATGAACATTCAACATGAACCTACAAACTAGTTTTCTTATATCACTTACAAATTTGAGAATGAGATAGGGATTTAAGCCTACAATTTATATCAGCAGACATCCTAACTGGTAATTAATATTTAACAAGTTGATAACTTACTTTCTCTTTGTTACTATGGATAACAGGTTGCAACGTGGTTAGTACTGAAAAAATTTCTGATAAACAATAGAGGAATCCATCTCTGCTGACCTTGACTTCCAACAAAATCCAATATATTACATCCAGCATAAACTGATACCTAACCAACCACAAAGTCAAGTGCATCTACTCTCAAACAGCTAATTTGAATTGGTCATCAGTGCTTGCATTATCTTTGTGATATGGTTAACTTCCCACAGACAAGTCCTTAATCATAACACAAGACTACCAGAAATAACGATAACACTTTAAACAACAGGCAAGCATCCATCTTGTATCCACGAAATCAATTTTCCTCCGACCAAAGCTACGCAGATCAGCCAGACAAAGGCAGCTATTGCAATATTCGATCTTTCCACCATTCAAAACAAACCATATAGAACACAAATACACATCAAGGTATCCCAAGAAACTGTATCTTTTTTGCAAGCTATGCCCAACTTTGATCCATAATTATCCTATCTTCACCAACTTTCACCAAGTCAATGAAAACCACAAGATTCAGTCACAGGCAGCAAAGATACCGTGTCCAAGTATCAGCTCAAAATAGCAGAGCTGATGAAAATGCTGATCATCTCTTTCAACCAAAAAACTTGGACTTACTAAGCCCATGAAAACATACCCCGGAGTCATGGAGATCCACGTTCTGACAACTTATTTTGATAGGAGATGTTACAACCTTTTTTTATAGGAGATGTTCTGACAATTCTTAAGTACTTTCAATTATCATAATATCACCTATTAAAAAAATCTACATCACTGTGTCAAAAGAATTGTGTGCCCATGCCCAGACTCCGTATTTGACCAGATTCAGAATTTGAGGAGGCCAGAAGTATTACTCCACCAAAGCATCAAATCTTAAATCAATATTGGAACGACTGATGAACTAGGAAGCATCAATATTTGGTGTAGCATTGATGTTGCTGAATTCATCTTTCACATGCAACATGATAACCCAAAGCATTGAACCTCTGATACAATACTGTTACTGGCACCTGCAAGGACTCTAGTGATCTGAATAAGGTCTCATAAGATCCACTGAATGGGTTGCATAAATGTTCCCACAAGTGAAGTGGCCAGACTAATGGCGTTGGAGGCTTCATGTGACATAAAGCACCACGAAAACTTATCAACATACGAAAATCGACTATGAAATTGATCTTGATCTCTTGTCCCTCGCTAAACCAGTAATGTTAGCATAATTGTCACAACAAGAACAAAAAATGTGACAACAACAAAAAATCAATAAAAAAAGTTCAAACTAGTTCAAACAAAAACTGACATGGCTGAAAAGGAGGCTCAGACTTCATGAGAGCTATACAATAGCAGATGAGATGATCCCATTGCCAGAAAGAAGCAGTTTAGAGTCCCTAACTCTAGTCCGCATCAAGCATAAAGTAACTAAACTTGATGCTTTGCAGCCTCACAAAATCAAGAATTTGAAATATCTGAAGAACAACTAACATGAGAAAACAAAGCTTTGTGATATAGCAGCCACTATGAAAACTGCATAGCCTATAAAACAACAAATGACGAGTTGACAGCAGATAACCCTCTGGATTCTATGAGAACAAAAACAAATGAACACAGATGAGGAGACACTATTCAGCTCAATAATCTTTCTCGGAAAACAGACACATCCTTCACCATCATGTTTGAGTCCAACTGATACAAAATATGGCCAAACCATTTACTTTTAGAGCATTTGTTCTAATTAGACAAAAACCTTTGTCGAAGCAAAAGGATGAAAATCACTTGATCAAACAATGAACATTTCAGACTTCGGCTGCAGAGCCACAGAATCCAAACAGTAAGCATACTTCCTACAAGAAAGAGAAACTTCTCAAAGTTGCCACATCATGTGAACAGATGATTAGTCGGCCCATCCTCAAAGGATTACTTATATGCCAAATTTCCAACACTATCACAGGATTTTCTGCGGATCCCAGCCACAGACCTTTTCATGACTAAATATTTAGTTACCAAATAGCAGGTGAGACTAAATCAAGCAATTAACTTGAGCAGCCTTGTACCCAATTCCACACATCCAGATACCATCTGCTTATGTTTATACTTCCTGGCTTGAGAATCATAATAACCATCAGCTATAATCTAGTCCCAAAAATTCATACTAAGCTTCAGCAGCTTGATGCAATCACTCTAACAAAAATATCTCTACGAAAACCCATCTACGTACAGCATCAAAAGATCATAACCAGCATTCCAGAAAGACATGAAAACAAATAAGGAGCATTAATATACAATGAGAACAACAGAAACTGATGAAATAAAGGGATAAAATCAAAACAAACATAAGTAATCGGAGTGACAGACATAGGAATTAAGTACCAATGCTAATTGGAAAAGTAGAATCAAACATATGCTGGGGTCAGAATGGCATAACCAACAATAAAATCCTCATTAAGTAGTTTATTTACTCCATACTTCTTAGCTAAGGAGGGGCACTTGATATGAAATATAATGGGGTAAACCAAGCTCATGTAATTAGTGGAAAGAGCATGATTTGAAATTCGAAAATCAGGATCAATCGAACAAGTAATAAACATGCCTTTAATCTGCTGTAATACAAAATATTTCATGTATTATAACCATAGAACATCATTGTCTAAACTTCCAAAAACGGTACCACCCATTGATATACCAAAACCAAAAGCTTCCATGAAACTTCAACCAATTTGTACTCCAAATGTCTTGGGTAAGATACTCATTCAAAGAAAATGCCCAAAATAACTAGAAAGGCGACCAATTTCGCAAACGAAGAGTTTGACTGTCTGTCTTCTAAAAATAAACCATAGGGTCAAAATTACGGCTCAAACTGATTGAGACAGAGACAAAGTTGTGTCCTTTTAACCTCCTAAAACCCTATATTGAAATGGGTCTTAGACCCAAAGCATAAAAATAAAAAAAAATAAAAAAAAACCCTTTTCATATAATTTGCAAGCAAAGTAAAGCAGCTGGAGCCTGAAAGTGCATGCCTCTATCAATTGTGACACAACTAACAGATAAAAAGTTTTGAAAACATTAGGGTTCAAATATATTCATGCTAGGAACCAAATTGAGCGTTACCTGAGCTTCATGGACTTTGCCGAAACGCTGGAAAGCGCTCTCCAGCTGACGCTCCGTGACGTCCCACGACAACCCTCCCACGAATATGCGGAAATCTTCCTTCCCTGCCATCTCTCTCTTTCTCTCTCTCTCTGTGAAGAGTGTGTTTCTTATTAACCTGTGAACTTTGTCGAGCGAAACCCTAACCGCTTCGAATACCTGGATGCGGTCGACTTCTTCTATACTCTGCAACGCCTACTTCGATTTTTCCTTTTCCTATTTTTTACAGGAGAATTTATATCATTTTAAAATTATTTTTGGGTCAATGTTGCGGACGGTCTTGGCCGCTGGATGGGTGGACCCGTGTGATAGAAGGATCAACGGTAGAATGATTGTCTCTTGTATAAAAGGAAACCGCCACGCTTCGTTTTTTTTTCCCCTTCTCTTTTTTTTTTATGAGATTAAAATTACAAGACAAACTCTCCCTCAGTCGGCACAACCCAAATTAAAACGGTCAAAGTTAAAAGTGGAGGTAGGGTTAATTTGGGAATGCCCTGGACAAACAAACAAAATTAGCTTATCTAGCTCAAGTGGTTGAGAGAGCACACTCGAAGTTTTAGGTTCGATTTAATTCTCCAAATCTCTCATTATGGTAATATTGCTTATATAAAAAATAATTTTTAAAAAAGGACATGATGAAAACTGAAGCTTGGTATGAAATAATTATGTCAATTTTAGTACGACCAATCAAAATTTCCAACTGTATTTTTTCGGGTGAAAAACACCAACAATTGGTATGGTAGGAATTAGTTGTGGACGTATTGCAATTTGGTTTGATTTAGTCCTCAAACCGCATACTGAACCAATGAAGAATCATAGTTCGGTTTACGCTTAAAACAAGTAGCTTAAGTGAACTGAACTAATCTACTTAAAACTAGTAGCATAGGTGAACCAAACTAATCTATTCAGTCTTGAAATCATTCGGTCTGGTTCGATCAAGATTACAATGTTTCTAACGTTAAAGCCAAACCAAAACGTTGGAAAATCCATTTGGAGAAAAGAAAAATCTGTTATTGATTTGATGCGCTATTTGGTTGAAGAATAAATAATTGCAAAGAGTTTGTTACATATTAATTGAAATAATTACATGAATTGACGTACTTAATGTACACGACGACTATACATGAAATGGCCCATGCCATGTATCAACCAGCGATTGAAATATATGCTACAGTTGAGCTTGAGGGAGGCTTCATCCATCCATCCATCCATCCTACTATTGGTCAGATAAAAGCGGCAGCCTGGTAACGCTGGTACCTCCTCCACCGCCAGTTAGTGATTTTGAGTTAATCAACTTCAGAAAACTTGAACTGGATTTTGCAGCTTTAGAAGAAGATTTCTTCTTGTTTAATCTCATGGGAAGAATCTGCAACCTGGGATTCATCTCAGTACCTGAATTTTCAGCAGCCAACTGATAACTTGCCACTAGCTCTAGCTGCCGGGCAATTATTTCAGAGCATCTTGGGAGAAGCTCTACCGGCTCTCCACCAGGAATCACGATATACTCTATTGCAAGTCGAACCTCCTATCAAAAACAAAAGGCGAAAGAAACTGTGTATTAAGCATGTGATATGTATGTAAGGAGACATGAATGGAAATAATTTACAGACAAAAAACAGAAATGTTCAATGTGAAGTTGAATGTTATCCCTTCCTTGGAATATTTGGCCATGTAGTATGGGGGTACAACAGAGAGCACAAAGGTCAAATTTCTCAGACGATGCAAATGCATACATACATAGAAAAGGAAATGTACCTCCAATGCATCAATCTCTTCCAAAGATGGTTTTCGTTTTGGGGCATCATCTTCAATTTCAATGTCGAAAGGATTCTTGACTAGCTGCTTTGGCGAAGACCCAACTGATTCCATTTCAAGAATCATACGAACTGCCTTGACCATTTGTGCCATGGTATTTGACTGCAATTATGGACACCAAATATCTCAATGAGACACGAAGACGGCGTGTATACAAGCCTATATAGACATAGATACACAAACGGAGAAAGTTTAAAAACACATGAGGATACTTACCTTCATGACAAATACAGGCAACTGGTGGAATTTTGCTACACCTCGGATCCATGGATTCTGCTTCATTTCAGAACTGGATGCTATTATTGCGTCTGCTGTTCCAATATCATCAGTTACCTCTATTTCATCTTCAAGCCCCATCACCTTTGCTACTTGTAGCAGGTCGGCCTCAAGGATCTAAAGTACATCAAATAATAAAAAGAAGAGTTTAAATACAAATCATCTGGATTGTGAAAAACTATCTACTATTCAATAGCATTCTGGCAAAATTCATTATGTTGCTCTTCTTAACTGAACTGCGTACCCAACACTTAATTGAGCTTATGTAGCCTCCAATTTTGCACATTACTTTACAAACGTCAAAATCTGAACTAAAAGTAATGCATGACTTTCATTCTCATTTCAACGAGTGTGGATTTGAAACTTCCAATTGAAAACATAAAGTGAAGCCTAAGAAAGCAATTTACCTTGTATGTATAGATACAAACTGGTAACCTTTGTTTCTTCAAAGATATATTGCTGCCGGGTTTTTTGGACTGGTTTTTGGACCAATTAGGAGAATGATCTAGATCTTCCCCATCAAACTCTATGTCAGCAGAAGCATCAATGTCTTCCTTAACAGTAAAATTAGATATTTTTAGACAGTTCTTTTCAGGTAGTGGAATAGACTTGCGAGAGTCATTAGCCTCCGCATCAATACGACGGACTTCAAATAAAGGAGTTTTTCCTGTAACCAAGAAAGATTTCAATTGGATTAATTGTTGCCCTAAAAACGTCACTTGTAAGAGAAGTACACAGTAAATAAACCAGTTAAGACATTAATTGGGATTCTCCAAAGAAGAAAGCGCAGAATACCAGCCAGTATAGCATCCACAGTTGCATCTAATCTGTGATGCACGCGATACTCTGTTTTAGATATAATCTCAACAGCACATGTAAATGTAGGAGGCCCCTTTCTTTCAAGAATTGTCTTCTGAACCTTCCTTTTTCTTGCTTCTTCATCACCAAGAGTAACACTCTGCATTCAGATGATAACTGGTATAATCAATCGACATTTCTTATCTGGGAAAGCCTTAAATTGGTAAGGTCCCAACACAAAGTGGAAACGATCATTTATATATGACACCACCAAGGAGAACTAATAGCACTTTGTAAACCTAGTAGATTTAGCATAACTTTTGTTGGAATATATACCTATATATCCAATATAAATGAATACAGAGTGGCAGAAAAGGATATTCCATTGCACCTCTATGCCACCAACAAGGATTTGTAGAGAAGGATTCTTCATTATGTTGTCTATCGTCATTCCATGTGCTGTTCCAACTAGTTGGACTCCTCTCTGAGCAATAGTACTGGCAGCCAATGCTTCAAGCTCTGTTCCAATTTCATCTATAATTATGGTTTCAGGCATATGATTTTCCACTGCTTCAATCATAACCTGCGTAGAAGTTCAAAAGGGGAAAAAATATGATATGCGTGAAAGAAGTAATGCAAAATTTACTTGGGGACTAAAAGAGCAGTTGCTGACAACAAATCATAGAACTTATTTCAACACTCACATTATGCTGCATATTAACATTAGGAACTTGCATCCTCCTTGCACGACCTATTCCTGCATGAGGAACATCTCCGTCTCCACCAATCTCATTAGATGTATCCACAATCACAACACGCTTCATCTGATCATCTGCCAACATTCTAGCAATTTCTCTGCACCAACATATCCTCTCAAAAATCATAACATGTTCATTCTTGATGCCAATTCAAAATGGGAGAAAATGGAAATTTAAATGTTACTTCATTTACTTAAACCTTGAGTAGGAAATACCTGATCAAGGTTGTCTTGCCAACTCCAGGAGGTCCTATCACCAAGATGGAGCCTCTGCCCTCAACCAAATCGCGGATGACCTCAGCACTTCCTGACACAGCTCGTCCCACGCGGCAAGTGAGGCCAATGATTTGGAACTTACGGTTTCGAATAGCACTTATCCGATGTAATGAGTTATTAATACCAGAACGGTTGTCATCTGAAAACTCACTAACCTACACAAAGCAGAACGTAGCATGACATTATAAATAAGTAACTATATCTTCCCTCCTCCACAAACATTCCAACTGTAACACAATATTTAAATTAAAGATGTTAATGGTTGATCAATCCTTTTTAATAATAAGCTATTAACTTATTAAGCATCTATCAATGATTACATGATCAATCACACAAGGGCCTAAAATTGACAATCCATTTGAATATAAAACGCTGAATTTTCTGACATGAAAATGTAAGTTGGTATCTATCTATCTATCTCTCTATGAATATTCCAATCAAACATAGAAATAAATAAAAAATTAGTAAATTTGGACGTACACCAGAAAAAGACCACCGTTAACCACCAAATTGAAGATCGCCCAAATAAAATTATTTCATGCAAATATGACTCTCAAGTCTCAATCTGCATAAAAATGCTCCAAACCATTTATTTACTTGTCGTAGATCACCTTCGATACAGCGTGCCGTAGATCTTCATGGTTCACAGGCTTCTCTGAGATTACCCAATCACCCGAAGGAAACCTCGCAATCGGGCTCCTTCCCAAATCCATCACAACCTCAATGAGCTCGCCAATCTCCTCGTGCCCGTACAGCTCACTCTTCATCCTCATAGGCAACAATTCAAGCAACATTTCCAGCTCCGAAGCGGCCTGCGGCTGCGACGTGGAAGCCGAATTCGAATTCGGAGAATTCGACAACGACCCATTCCCGGAAAAGAACCGATCCGATGGCCTCCGAATTTCCGGCGACGGAATCGATGGGGAGGAAGATTTGGACGAACAGATTGGCTTATGCGCACGACTTTTTCGACGAAATGACGAAGAGACTGAGGAGATGAAGTTGGAGTTCTGAAGGTAACAGAGGGTCGAGGTGGGGATTTGGTTTGCTGAGTGCCATGAGTTCTGAAGATCCACAAGCACAAAATGTGAGCTCAAAGCTCTCATTCTCCTCGCTGATTTTTTTTTTCTAAACACAAATTACAAGTAGACTTTTTTTTTTTCTTTCTCTATTTTATGGTTGTAGTTTTTCAAGCGTCTGGTTCGTGATTTTGTTTCCGTTGTGTGTCAGAATTGGCAACGATGGAAGAAGATTCGGAGGCATCTCCTCTGCGATTGGAATTTGGAGGGAAAGTGGGGCCGCCAAGAAGCAACCCAACAAACTGCTAACGACCGCTAAAAAGTAATGGAAGTTCAGCCATGTGGGGCTGCTTCACGAGCCACACGTATTTTTCAAAGCTTCAACTTTTTAGATGAAATGATGTGTTGGTAACTTGGGAGCTACTTAGAAAAATCTTTCTTTACTTTTAACTTAATAATTCCATGTTATCTTGTTACATAGCTCCACGTATTTAAAATTTATGTTTTGTGTTCACTTTCTTTCAGCATGTGCCAAATAGTTATGTATTGTCTAGTCTAATCCCGCATACTAAACGAGCCCTTACATGTGCCGAATGAGCTGTATAAGTGTAACAATCCGAGCACGCTTCAAATGCGCAGAGTGGTAAACAGGAAGGACTCGCTTGCCGCCGAGTGCAGTGTCATTTTCTTGGTTTCTTTGTTCAATTTTGTCAGTCGACTGTAGAGACTTTTGAAGCAAAATCTGAAACAACGTTCAGGTCAGTCTTCAAGCCGTGCAAGGCTGGTGCAGGCCACCGACGAAGACGGCTCTTGCTATGAGCCATACCAATGCTCAAGTTAAACGGACGGTGTGCTTATTTGGATGGTGATACTCATTGAACAGAAAAACAATAACCCTATGATCTGTAGCCCATGTAAACCTGTAAACTACAGCTCCTCTGAACTTTGATCTTGAACCGATAGATAAAAATGTGAAAGATCTGAGAAGAAACCATAAAGAATGAAGAACAGGATGAAATACTACTAGCTCTTGATGTAGTAGAAACTCAATGCTAAAAAAAAATATACTGTACACTGTACACTGATGGACGCCATTAACTAAATTTGGCGCCAATCTATTCCCAACCCATCAATTTATTTCTTACACCTTCCTCAATTTTGTTCCTTGGCACTGAATAACCAACTCCTTCATCTAGCAGGATTCTGTAGACCTCCCACTCCCGATCTTGGATCATGTGTTTCCCTATCTTAACCTGAAATAACCAAAGCAAAGGAATGGTAGAATGGCAAAATTAGATAGGATGTCCCTAAAGAGAATGTAGGATAACATTACATAAGACACTCATAGCATCGGTTGGAGCCAGTACCGAAAAGATGCGTGTCTTCAGAACTTTGAGGGCATGAGTAATATCATAAAAGACTAGAGGACGACCCCTGCCAGACAACTCAACGGGGTTAGCTACCACCAGCTCAGTATCAGGGCCACGGCTCACCACCGCCACTCTAAGAGGGCGCAAAAGCTCCATTCTCAAGCGAGAACATAACGCATTTTGCTTGTTGGGGTCAACAATCTTCTTGCCATCTGCTTGCATTATGAACAAGTCCACCTCACAATTTCCTTTTGGGCTTGCATAGAATCGTCCATAAGAAACCTGACATTATCAGCTAACAAAGGTCACAACCAAACATGCATAATAACACCAAATGTCTAATGAAACCTTCACAACCTTTCCCAGGAATCATAATTTCTTACGATCAACTATTAAACGTTCACGAAACAAATTAATATTCAGCAACCATAATACTGTAATATGTTAGATGAGTGATGATGACAATTCATTTCAATACTGAAAATGTGAAATTTTGAAACACAGCCTAAAAGTTTTTCTCTCCCAAAAAGAAAAGCTCTATATAGGTTATAAGATGTACCTGAATGTTGTAATCCTTTAGGGTTCTCATGATATCATATACAAGGCCTTTATGATCCTGACAGAAGATTTGAACAAGTGTGTGAGATGGGCTAAGGTTGTTGTCCACTGTTACTGAAATGGGGTTGGAGGCAGCAGATCTGCTTAGGCGTCCATTGGGCAGCTCTAAACTGAATATTTCTTCAGTGATGGCAGAAGGAAGACATGGAGAACCCTGTGAACAAGCGGTAACCTCTGATCCAGCCAATTCAATTTTGCAACTCAACAAGGCATCCCCTAAAACAGCTTTCAGACAAAGAATTGTTTCATCTTGTCTTCTTTTTGCATGAAGAAGTTCTCTGATTGAAAAGAGAGAAGAAAAAAGCTTCTATTAACCATATTTGAGCAATTGGACTCACATAGACATGAGACGCTGACATCTAGACTCCATTTCCATTGGCAGCATGAGCAAGTATAGAATTATTGGAATAAAATACGAAAACACTTGATTTAAGAATTATGCAAAAGAAAATCTAAGGAACCAAATGGAGGATTGCAGCTCTCTTTTCCTTTTTCCCTTTGAATTATTGCCAGTAACAATCAAGTTAACAATAAGGCACATGAAGATAGGGAAGTAAAAAGAGAAAAATACAAGAAGACATGCTGCACCATGATTAAAAGTGAAGCAATGTAAAGAATGACAAACCTGGTATCTGTAACAAAAAAAAGGTCCATCACTCTCCCATCCGGGGTAGTAGATACCTTCACTCTATGTATTGTGAGCTCCAGCTCACAGAGAACCTCAGTGACATCTATTACGAAAAAAGTTTTAATAATAATCTCAAATAAAATATATGGCTCTTATTCAGAAAAAAAAACAACAAAACAAAAAAAACAAAAAAAACAAAAAAACAAAAAAAAACAAAAAATATACATATGGCTCCATACAATACATTTTCGGATCAAGTATTGAGATGCATTCAGAAAAGTAGGCAATACTACGTAAGGGAAGAGAAGAAAAAGAAACAAATAGAAACAAACAACGTCTCAAATAAAATATATGGCTCTTATTCAGAAAAAAATCAACAAAACAAAAAAAACAAAAAAACAAAAAAACAAAAAATATACATATGGCTCCATACAATACATTTTCTGCTCAAGTATTGAGATGCATTCAGAAAAGTAGGCAATACTACGTAAGGGAAGAGAAGAAAAAGAAACAAATAGAAACAAACAACACTAGATTAACCAAATAGATAAGCAACATTATTTGCATTCCAACAGGTAACTTTGGTCAGATAAGTGAAAGTAAAGATCCCTTTTTTTGATTTCTCAAAACTCAAAAGGAAAAGAAGAAGAAAAAAAAAAGAGTTGTCAATTATGCTTATGGATGGAAAAGGGATCATAATGATAACGATTTAAGTTGTCTTCATTCCATTTCAGGCGACTTAAAAGAATAACTTATTCTTATATCAATCTGTCATAAATTATATTCCTCGGTAACTTCAATCCATTCTAAACAAGGGATATGAACATTACTTGTTACACTTCTTGCAATGCTTCGACATTACTATCATCAAAGTCGCAATTACATAGACAGTGATCACGGCCTTTCTATATCATCAGATACAAAATTGATAATCACCCATAAATGATCTTCATATTCATAACTATGTCCATTTCAAATTTCTTACTAAGTTCGAAGTTTCAGACAAATCATTGAGCAAGACATGCAACATTCCCGCATGAAAACAAATGCGAAATTCATTAAGTATGGTACTTCTAAGCAAAAATTAAGCTTAGGGGATAACGCCTACAAAGAAGAAACAATTCCCAAGATAACAATTACTCAAGCAAGTGACATTCTTAGAACTGAAAGGTTTGTATTACCATGCAATAGGCCTTCCCGTTCATAAGAGCACCAGAATTCAAGAAGGAAAACATCTGGTGGCTTAGGCTGCTGGTTTTCAGGGTGATAATAGAATATTCCAGAAGTTGACAAATACGATGGACACACTTCCAACAATCTCTTTGTCAACAAATTCCACCTTGTATTTGGTTTTCCCACCACCCAAAACACAAGGTAGCACCATTTCCCATCTGTTGAAACATCTGCTCCACAAAAAAGCTAAACTAATCACCAGCACATTCAATAAAATATTAAGGGAAACTTATAAAAACTAAACTATCACTCAAAACTCCAAGACTCATGAAGAATAACCTGTTTTCTGATTTACCACAAAAAGAAACTCAAACCAATTCTTTGTTTCTCTCTTAAGCCTACATCCACCAAAACGTTTCAGAAAAACTCAAGACAAAATGACCAGTATTCTCAAGAATTTCAGATCCAAACAGTAAATTTCCCAGTAAATCAGAGAAAAAAACCTAAATAAATCAAATAAATCACACTGCCCACCAATTCACTGACTACAATCCCAAATCCACCTCCAAAAATCTCAGAATTACCCAGAAAAAAGAAAATTAAACCAAAAGCAAAAAACAAACATACAGTCAATAACAATAACCCTCACCTCCTCTGCAAATGCTTAGCCCAAAGAGCAATATAACCCTGCACAAATCACAACCCAATCCAGTTTTGTCAGGGCAATTGACGGTGATTACAGTGGGTTCCCCAGCCTTCTCTGCCTGGTTAATTACCACAACATCCTCATGCAAAATGCCCATTGCTCTGCCTTCAGCTACCTACCACTGTTCCTAAATCCTACTCTGTTTTTTGCTCCGTTTTTGGATCACTGGAAGCTCAGCGGCAACAGATAAAATGAGCCAAAAACCCCAAGTGGGTATCTTCGGATTCTCACTCTTGTATGTTTTTATTGAGTTAATGGATTGGAGATTCCGCCAAACACAAAGATCAGATAATACAAAGATCAGAGGGTCTCTCTCCTCCTCTGCTTTTCTTTTCACGGAATTTCAATTTCTCGTCCTTTTTGCGACAGTGAGAGATATTGAGGAAAGACTTTAAAAAATTGAAACGTGCGAAATTAGGTGTGCTCGAGTGTACAGTGAGATTGGACTTGAAGGAGAAGTTTTGGTATTTGACCCAATTAGTGTTGAGCACGTCATCGTTGCTTGAAGAGGATTAATTTTTCGGTTACAGTTAAGTAGGATTAATTTTCATAATTAATTTGAAGAGCTTAAGTGGACCGGCATCCTTCATTA